TTGCCACATAAACTCGTCACTCGTTTTTTTTTTTGTATATTATTCATCAATTAATTTAAAAAATGATTGCTTTTTTATACGAGTTTTGCAAGCTGCACATGACCTGGTGTAATAATGATTAAATATGTGTACTTGGAAAAATACAATTTGATTTGTGGGGTCTTGAAGATGAACTTTTTTGTGGCTTTTGGCAGTGCTTTGCTTCCATTAATATATTCCACAAGAATTGAAAGTTATATTAATACCTCAAAACAATCTCATCATCTTTGTACTCTATGAAATTGTTACTATGTGCATGATAATCTTGGCTTTTGAAATCCATTCCTAGTACCTTCAGATTTAACCTTTTGCAGATCTAGTTTTAGATTTCCACGTTGGAATTAGAGTATATCATCAATTTGATTTTTGAAGTATAATTTTTTTTTCTACTTAATTCCTCAAATATTTTAAACTAATTAAGATTTCCATTTCATTAGTTTAATTTCATCAAAATATTCTTACTCTAACTTTTCATATTATTACTGTTTGAAACTTTAGTTAATACATCAGATTCAATAACACATTTCTTGAATGTTTCGTGAAAAATTTACTTATTTTTTGTAAATTTTATTGTAAAAAATAATTTAAATTTGTACAAAATTTATATTTTACAAATTTTATAAAAAATTGTAAAAATATTTTCATGAAATACGATAATTTTTAGCCCTGATTGGTCTAATTTTTTTATCATTTCATCACATATTTTAGGGAAATAAAAAAAATTATTAGGTAAAATGTTTTTATTAACAGTTTTTAAGCATCTGAAACTCATAATATTCTAACAAAAATAGTAATTGTTTGTAATGTAAATGATTTGCTATTTGATTAAATAACATATATCTAAGTACGTGATTAATCATTTTATTACGTGAGTTGTTTAAATTTTTTTACTAGAAATTTCAATTTTAGAAAACTCTAATAAGATCAATGTCAATTATTCAATTATCAAGATGAAATCTATTTCAATTAAAGATTATTCACATATAAGTTAGATTTTTAGTATGATTTATAACATTTAAAGTAAATTATAAAAATAATAAAAGTACAATTAAAGTAAACTGTAGAAAAATAAATGTGTGACAAAAAAATAAATATGTAAAGAAAGTAAATTGCTTAAAATGTAAATTTAACTCATTACAAATTACAAAATATGATTTGATGAAGAAAATCAATAAAGATGATCATCTAAATTATAAAAAAATCTGTTGAAAAATATTTATCATTTGTTCTTACTAGTTTTTTCAAGACGTAAATCTTCGCATCAATTATAATTTTTACATTTATTTCATCCTATTTATATTTCTCTTTATGTAATTGCTAAAATACTTAAATATAAAAGATAAAAAATAAAATAAAATGAAGTCAAATAAAATATACAAAATGTAAATAAAAATCCATGAATAGGTACTTTTTTATAATTACTTCCTTTTTCTTCTACCGACTTTGTTATCGAGGTAATATCCATAGATGTGTATATCACATATTGAAATAATAATTGTTTCCGCATATCTTTCAATGTTATAATTTCTTCTCAATATCTTATTTCTTATTATTCATAATCCTAGATTCGATATTTTCAACTCTTCAATCTTAAATATTCAACTAATCACACTATCTCCTTTTGGATTATATATGCCTTTAAACAACTCATTGTTTTAAATTCACCTTTTACTCTTATTTTGATCTTTTCAATTTTAATATTTAACTCTTAATAACTTTGATTATTATCTTTCATTATTTTCGTTTCTTTTAACACCTCAACATCTCTTGTATTTTTTAATTTATGTATTTCGATATATTTGTAAATTGGTAAATAACCATAGTCTAATAATATAAATAAAAATTAAATTTGAAAAAAAAGGCTTATTAAGATGTAAACATAGATTCATGTTATGTTTGTTCATTTTATCATTAGCGCAACTTCAATATCATGTATATGGGAACAACAACAACAACTATGTTTTCCATCCCCACTTTTACATTTACAACATTGAAAGAATGTTCAATAAAAACGACAATATATCTTTTCTCATCATTAATAATATATGTTTTATGTTATTAGTATAATTATTACAAGAAGACACTTAGATTTAATGGAAAGAAAATAAAATAAAAAACATATTAATTTATCAAAAAATTTGATGAAATGAATGTCTCAAAATATAGCAGAGCGATATCAGACTAATCAGAAGATAACTAAATCGATGATTACTTCATAAAATTATTAAGATGGCCTTTTCCCGATTTGATTTGAAAACAATGGAAAGAAGATAGAATCTGAGTGGATCAAGTGGCATTTCTACTTCCATGTCAACTTCAGAACCCTATTTTTTATTTAATTCTTTATGTTTTTTTTCTAAGTAATAATAAAGGGATTAACGTGACTTGTCTCCGTAGGAAAAAGAAATTGTCAAACCGTCCAATTCTAAAGAATCGTCGCATGTGGGTGTGAATATCTCATGGCACCATTCTATTCATACATTATCTATCTAAAAGTAATAATGATGATAACAATTCCAAGTACCTATAAAATTATGAGTATTTATATCGTGCTAATAAAAAAATCTATATCAATAATAATAATAATAATAGTAACTATTATTATTATTATTATTATTATTATTATTATTATTATTATTATTATTATTACACAAGCCATCTACCTCAAGGAAAAAAGAAAACAAATCAATTATTGCATTATTAGGAATAAGAGTCATGCTTTCTTTGAGTTTCTGAATTTTGATTACATATTTTCATGTTGTCTTTTTTTTTTTTTTTTTTTTTTTATAAAAAAAACCTTAGACTCCGTTTAATAAAAAAAGTATGAAACGAAAAAGAATATATGTATTAAAAAATTTACGTGAATATATATATATATATATATATATTCGTTATAGAAAAAATGATATTTTTTTTCTTTACCATTTTCTTTATTGTTAAACAAAATAAATTATTATTTTTTCTTCGTTTATTTTTTATATGGGTCACTTTCCATTTAAGTAGCATCCAAAAGTATTAATCAAATATTTTCCGTAAAGATTATAAATAAAATAAAATATTAAGATAATATCAATTATCTGATATGATATTGATAACGAAAATAATTTGTTAAATTTTTACAAACAATCGTAACATGAGTAAAGGTATCAATATATGGTCGGATTATGAAAAAAAGACAAATAATAAAAATATAATGAGTTAGCTTATTTCGAAACAATATGTCAAATCGATCCATGTTAAAGTAAATAGAATTTTCAAATTAAAAATAAAATAAAATAAAAATATAATTTTAAAATATTGAAGTCACATCAATAAAACCAGTTTTACTTTTTTTTTGTCTAACTTAATTTTATAGGTTTTTTTAAATCTTCATAAATTAATCATTTTTCTTGAAAGATAAGCAAATACCTTTTAAATTTTAAATTTTCATCTATATATGGACGCATTTATGAATATAAATAGGACCCTTTTTAAGTTCAAGAAAACTTGTGCATGATTTTGTTAAAAAAATGTTGTGTTATGCATGTCTATGGCGGGTTGAACTCAACTTTATCATGGGTTGTGCTTAGGCTCTAAACTTCACCTCTGTAATTTATTCCTACAATCCATGTTTTACTAGAGAACAATTTCACGAAATTAGTTCAAAATAATATTTTAGATTTATTGAGAATGATACATTAATTTCACCAATAAAAAACATAATTTTTTGGATAAAAAATCAGAAAGATAATAAATTAATATTATTTTTTAAATTATTTAGTATATTATTTTTATTTAATATCTTATTATTATTAGGAATTCCTGGATGTATCAATCTGATAAATTTTCTTATTACTAATATTACTACTAATAATAGTAAATCTATTATCTTCGGTTCTTCTACTTGGAAAATTTATAGATTTATCAATCTAAAATTTTTATAAAACTTCCAGATTCACTTGTATAAAATTTTCCGGATTTCTTAATCCAGACCTAAAAACTTATAAATTTTTATATGCTATGAATGCCTTAATTTAGAAATTATGTTTTAGATTCATCAATCCATTGTTTTTTTCTAAAAATCCACAAATAGGGAACACTCCAATTTTTTATTTTTATTTTTTGAATCAGCAATCAGGTCACTTAATATGACTATTGTAGAAAATAACGATGTTAAATCACCTGCATTTGCCCAGCAAAGAACGAAAATACACCCATTTGGCTGGCTTTAGCCATACTCTTTTATTCCAAATATAGAAATGATTCCTTGTGGGGGGTTTCCTGATGCAAACTAGCTTATATAAGTTTTTTGCAAACTAATAACCATGATGCAGAGCAGAAAACCAAACTAAACATACCGTCTTGGGTTTGATTCATGTACAATTGTAAATTCTCTAATGATTGGGATGTCGTTCGCCAAACCATGGAACCAGCCAATCTGCTCTTCCTCTGAATATCGTTCACTAAAAAAGCAGTACCAACTGCACCATTTTTTCATACACTGAACCAATTTGGTACATTAAACGACAATTTAGTTGAAGAAAAATATATCTCTATATTTACAATTGACAAGATGATATTGGGTTTTATAGAATGAACCAACAGGCCAGGAGGGATACACCAGAAACACACTGTAACCCTTGCTCAGAAAGAAACTGGAATCGCCGCGTAATTAAAATCGTTTTTGCTATCCATTACTCTAACTCTAAGGGTAAAAAGACGTTAAGGAATTCTCAAATAGAAGGTTTTTATCGGAAATTAAGATGTAAATACATTCGTAACATTAAAAGTTACACTTTCCAATAAAACTTTCTACTTTTAATTCCTTGACCATTGTCTTTAGGGCAATGGTTACTAAAATTTGAATTAATATAAAATTATATTTCCCTTTCTATCTTAGGGTATGTAGCAGTTATGAAACCCCAGTTCAAGAATAACTTTCAGCACAGCCACCACCAATGTGAAATGAAGGGTTGCGTACCTTAATTAACCAAAACCATATCTTCACTCACGGCTTGTGAAGCTACTGCTTCCAATGTCTTCCAAGTCAACTCCCTCTTCTCTTCCAACTCTCTAGCCTTGGCTTCCTTCTCTAAGTACTGTTTTTGACACTCTTCAAACAATTCAAAATCCATCTCCAGAAACAACTTCCTCACATTGGCTGTTAGCCCATACACCGTTCGGCTCCAATGGCCTTTCATGTTATTTTCCAAAGCTTCAAATATTACTGGCAATATAACATTTCGATTCTGGGCTATTAAACTTAAAATGTGCTCATTGTTCCACAAGTAAAGTGCTCGCTCGGCAACCTGCCATGGATAGAATAAATGTCAGAGAAATCAAGAGAGAATAAAGAAACATTTTTCATTTACCACTGCATTAAAAGATGAGAATTATCATTTATCAAAGATTGATATTATATTATAATGTTATGATATATAATAAAATCTGACCACCACAATGCAATACCAATGAAACGAGATCCAAATTCAAAATGGCTCAAGGCACAATTTTCCTGGAGCCACCCTAATCCAAGGCATCTAGTCATCTTACATAAAAAAAAAAAAAAGGATAGATATCACTATGTTAAGTAGCATATCCGTGAGTGAGAAGGGGCACTTTAAATATCAGCCAAAATTAAAGCAAGAAATAGAAGAACTATGCCAGTTTATTGAAGCTTAGTATTTTCCAACAGACAGAAAAGGAGTTCATCAATATTGCAGTCCATGTTACACATTAGCCAAAACATTATCTGCGTATACTCAAGGAATCAATGGAACATTAGAATATAAAAACTAAATAACAGAGACAATGACCGGACCAGAACATTTCTTAATCTCCGCATAAATTGAGAGGTCTCACACCGACCACAAATATTACAAATGTGGATTTCTATTCCTAGGCATGATGGGATGTTATTATGTGAACACCTACGTACTGCATTTGTCTACGATCCTAACACCCAATCCCAGAGGTGAATAGGTGTATTAAGATTTCACATCAATTGGAAGCATGACCACTGTAGTCTTTATAAGGCTTAGACAATCCTTACCTTATAAATCAACGTTGTAGAACTGTGTTAAGCTGCAAGCATAAATTCTAAAAGATGATGCAAGAATTTATTCTAGATCCATTATTAGCTCATGCATATTTGGCTATGTTCTAGGATGTCAATTCCTAGGCATAAGGTGTTTTTATTGGGTCGCCTGCATTTGTTCACACTCTAGACGTCCAATCATCAGCATAAGTCGGTGCATTGAAATCTAAAATTTTACGAGGTTCGAGTTAAGTTAAGCCTGAATCCAAAATTTAAGATGCTCATTCATTCATTTTTGTTTTCATTAGGCTACCTGTTTTTGTTCAAACTCCAAATGTGTATACCTAGGCGTGAGGCTAGTGTAATCCTTACCTAAAGCCAAATTTATGAAGTTGATTATGCATTAAGCCCAAATTCTAACGCATACTATTTCGCTCCTGCCACCTCCAGGCAACCATATAAAACCCCACTGAAGTATATGTTGTCCAATGAAAGAAGAAAAGATAAATATATCTAGAAAAGTTTATCCGTTTAGAGTACAAGTAATCACAAGAAAAGCAAACATTTATCTGAAGCAAAGAACATGATACCCATATATGCAAGGCATAATCTATAAACCACCACTGCAGTATGCCACAAGTTACATATGCAAAGTTAAGCTTAAATAATTAAAACAAGTAAGCTGAAAGTGGTAAACAAACAGACCTGAAATTGAGGGCTGTTAAGGCAGCGTCCAATCTGCCTGAAAAGAGAGGCCATGCACCGTAGAGAGTCAGTACATTGAGTTGCCTCAAGAACCACTTCTAGTTCTCCAAGAAAAAGAACTTCCTTCTGGCTATTCGTGACTGGCCAGTACTTCAACATTCCCTTGATAACAGGATCAGCCAGCCTGTTGTCTTTCTCAACAAACTGAACCACGCAATAAGACAGTTGTTGGTGGTAAGAGGAAATAGCTTTGGGCTTGTGAAGTGGAATAAGGGTACGAATTAGAAACAGTTTATGTTCCTCTTTCATTGGCAACGCAAATCCATTGATAATACTAGCATGAATCTCCAGCAAATCGGAAATACCATTGTGCCTCTGAGTTTCAAATATAAACCGGTAGAAGACGTTGTTGATGGCCTTCCGTATGAAGGGCCTGTGAACCATATACTTGCCATAAATGCGGTGAAGAATTGTCTTCAAATACTCGCGCTCGCGCGGGTCCTCGGAATCAAACAAGTCAATAAGTTTCATCACAAAGATATGGTCAATGTAGCGCTTGGATGTCTTTATATCAGTCTCGGGTGACACAACGTAGCGCAAGAGGATATCATACACGAGCTGCAAGTGCGGCCAAGACGGGTCCAAATATCTTTCATCTTCTTCGGGATCCAAGTATTCTGTGCCGCGAGGTGATGGAGGGAAACAACGGAAGATGTTAATGGACACCATGTTAATCAAGTCCTCTTGATTTTCGCTGAATCCGAATGACCCAGATTGGATGATTTCAATGAGCTCCTCGAGTGTTTGGCGCTTTGTTTCCCTCCCGTTAACGGAGTTAGTGTCGGAGAAATCGCACAAGAAGCAACACCCTTGGATTTTCCGGAGGATCAGCTCCCGGCGCTCCGATTCCTCGACGTCTCGCAGTGGCGGTAGTGGCTCGATTAAGGTGGGAACAAGAGGAGGAGCCGAAGGTGGAGGGCTTTGCAAATCGGAATTGGTGGTGGTGGTGGCGTTGGTGGTGGTGGCGGCACGAGAGGCGTGTTTGACGACAACTTCATAAAATTGAAGTCCGCTTTCGGGTATTTCCAATTTGGAGCATTTCTTGTGAGCGAGCTTTATGATCTTGTTGAACATTTTGGGGGAATTATTTGGATGGCGGGGGGAATGAATGTGGGAAGGATAAAAAAGCCCCAGAAAAAGGGAATGTTAACGGAAGCCGAAATTGGATTCGGCGAACCCGAAGCCCTGATGGTGCGACTTCTGGGTTGGATTGGGGGAAACGGCGAATCATCTAACACCTAATAAACGCGATGAAGCGGTAAATGACTCGCGTCCAAGGCGCTCTTCACTGACATCTATGAATATAATGCCCAAAAGGTGCAAAGTTGTAAAGCGCAATAATTAGATCTTCCGCCAGGAGGCGCCAAAATTCGAGGGCAGCCACGTGGACTGTTATGTATTATGCCAATATGCGCAAAATTTACTCACCAAATCAATAATCGTTTTGTAATTCATTAGGTCTATTTGTTTAAAAAAATAATAATAATCATTGAAGTTATAAACCATCAAACCACTAAAAAAAGAATGCAAGCTACACAACTAATTGAAGTATTAAGTTTGTTTTATTTATTGTTCACAGTATTTTTAGAAGTTTCAGGCCTCCTTATTATACGAACTTTGTAAAAAAAAAAAAGCAACGCATGGATTTAAACATTCAGTACCATCAATATGCCCATTAGCTTGGAAGATAAAATATTGAAAACTTCATTGAATGACAAAATACATTAAAAGAATTTTTTTTTATAAATTCTGCATGTCAATAAACATTGTAAAATTAATAATTAGAATGTCGGGGCATGCTATAGAAGTTGTTCATATTGTACTTGTAATTTTTATTCTTTTTATTGGGAGGTTAGGAAACAAAAACTCTCAAAAAAAAGACAAAAGGTAACAAGCGTGGCTTGGTTAGCAAACAGATCCAACTGAATGAAGCTAGGGTCACAAGAACTGTTGCGGAGTAGACATTAGGAAGGTAGACACTCGGCTAATTTATCAACTTATTGATTCCCCTCCCTTAAAAAGGATGGAAGCTGTCTGTGAAGGACAACATGCTTGACCGCATGACATTCATGGCAGTCGAGGAATATGACTCCGTTATATAAGGTTCCAACACTGAAAAGGCAGAAACGTTATCACATGAGAAACTCCGGTAACTGCTCCATGAACGTTTTTTGTGAAAGCCACTGATAGCATATCTGTCGACCAATGACTAAAACCATCGTATGAAACGGCTCTATCATATCAGCTGCTCTATTACAAGACAGATATTAGCATGAGATATGGAATAAACGCTTCCATGGAGTTCGACTATTCGGCATTAATAGAAGAAAAAGCTCTTCCGGTTTCTCCAAATAGCTTCTATTGTTAGGCTCCACTGCACTTCGGTCCCATGAATATCATGGGTAGCTAGCATTCTGAGTAATGTCTCCTACCACGTACATTATATTGTCTTCAAACAACTAGATTATTTTCAACAAAGTATTCTCATACGCCCAGGAGGACGGCCCCCAAAGCTAAATACTATAAAAAATATTTAATGCTTTTAATGCACCATATCAGAAAAATCCCCACAAAACTAGTTCCCGTTGCTTGTGATGAGATTTTTAATAACCATTCGAACAAGATTTGCATTTCAATCTTGTGAAGAAACCAATGGTTGGAAGAACTTTCTCCCACGGTCAAGATCTAATCTGACCTCCATCAAGATATACTGTTTACAAAGCCACCATAAATTACGTGTTCGAGCATCGGGAATTAACTCTGTCTGACTCCTCCTGCGGTTCTATGACAATTTCCAACATGAACAGAATATATCCCGAGCATAACCATAAAAAAATAATAAAATAGGGGAGAAAAACACTGCAAAAGGAACACATTGTAACACAACAATGCAGTCAAATTCTAGTAACATTTCTTAACATATTCATGCATAAAACAAAAGAAAGGTTTAGTGATTCATAAAATCTTTTTAGCCTAAGTGAAAAGTCAAGTTTCAGCACAGATTTACTCGGATTTACAACCACAAAAGAATTTTGCCATTAGCTACAAATGCCAAATGCCCAGACTCGATTTCCTGCTCCGGCCCATCACGTTTAGGAAGGATGTGATTACCATCCACCTTTGTCAACCCCATCATTTTTCATGCCCCATGATCCTGCTGCGCCTACATATAACAAAGTCAGGAGTCTATGAAGTCAGTCAGGTCTAAATAAATCTCATATTTGTAAATTTATATTGGTAAAACATTGAATTAATTCGGCTGTAATATGTGGTTTAACTTCTAATTAATGATCATTCTTAACTGAAAAAATCATTAATTTGCTTTGTAACTCTATTTCATTTTTAGCACTACCTCAGTTTTCTTCATTTCTTCCTTACCATCTGATTCTTTGCAACTAGATGATTGACCCTTGTCTTCAGCACTAGATTGACCCCACTTCAGAGCTCCGTCACCAGTTTCCCCACCATTCCCTGAAACAGCTCTCGCCTTCCAACTCGACTCTTCATTGTCCCAGCCTTTTGAACTAGATCCCTTGTTCCACCCACCGTGGATGTTAGTCTCTTCAACTTTAGTTTTTTTCAGGCTAGCCCGTGTCTGGCTTGACTCATTGCTGTTCCAATTATCATTAGCTCCACCACTAGCTGAACTCCAGCTCTGCTTACTTCCACCTCCCTGGTTCCTAGTAGAATCATTATCTCCCCCACTTGCTGAGCTCCAGCTCTGCTTATTTCCATCTTGGTTCCAGCTAGGACACTCCTTATCAGCATTCCCCTGGTTCCAAGCCTGAGATGTATTATCATTAGCTCCACCACTTGCTGAACTCCAGCTCCGCTTACTTCCACCTCCTTGATTCCAAACAGAATCGTTAGCTCCACCACTTGCTGAGCTCCAGCTCTGCTTATTTCCACCTTGGTTCCAGCTAGGACGCTCATTAGCTGCATTCCCTTGGCTCCAGCTCTGACTGTCCTTGCCACCAGTATCCTGGTTCCAAGCCTGAGATCTATTATCATTAGCCCCACCACTTGCAGAACTCCAGCTACGCTTACTTCCACCTCCTTGGTTCCAGCTAGAATACCCCTTATCTGCATTTCCCTGGCTCCAACTCTGCCTGTTATTGTCACCAGTGTCCTGATTCCAAGGTTGAGATCCATTACTATTACTCCATCCTTCCACATTATCTGGCCCTTTCTTCCAGTCAGAGGACCCATCCCTACCAGAATCCCTCCTGTTGTTCCAACTGCAAGATTGATCACTCCTTCCCCGGCCTCGGCCTCGGCGTCCTCCATCTGATCCCCACCTACCACCAAAACCTTCCCGGTCTGATCTACCTCTACCACCAAAGCCCCCGCGTTCTCCCCGACCACCAGAGCCCCCACGTTCTCCGCGTCCCCAGAAACCTCTACCTCGAAAGCCACCTCTATCTGATCCACCTCTACCCTGGTAACCACCTCTCCAGTTCCCACCACCTACTCCTTTGGAATTTTCATTTGAACCATTCAATTGATCATCGCTTGAGGTATTCCCTGCACTCCAGCTGCTATTGCTTTTCCAACTGGTGTTTTGATTAGTATCACCTGATCCAGAATTCCAATTAAGTTTCTTTCCCCAGCCAGAATCATTATTTCCAGTATCAGGACGCCCAGAACTCCAGGTGGTATTCTTGTTTTCATTCCCAGCATTTGAAAAGGATTTGCTATGGTTCCAATTGTCATTGTTTCCCCTGTCGGAATTTTCATTGGAATTACAAGATCCAGAATTCCAATTACTATTTTTCAGATCAGAAGCCAGGTTTCCACTGTTTTCAGAGTTCCAATTGCTTTTCATGTTGAAGTTGGAATCTTGATTTCCAGGCTCAGTATGTCCAGAACTCCAGTGAGAATTCTGATCATTGTTCCCAGTAGTACATTTCTTTTCATTTGAGTCATCCCTAGATCCAGAGTTCCAATTGCTTTTCTGACCCCAACCATTCCCTTGATTTCCACCAGTATCACCAGATACAGAATTCCATTTACTGTTTTTTCCCCAATCAGAACCACTGTTTTCAGCTACAGCATTTGAACCAAACTTCTTCTTGCCACCAAAAGCTTGACCGAACCCTGTAGCTGAACCATCTGAAGTATTTCCTGCACTCCAACCAAATTTACCTTCTTCCTCTTTATCATGTGACAATGATACCTGAGCATTCCAATTGCTTTTTGTTCCCCAACCAGATGACTCGCTCCCTTCTTTATTTGGTTTGTTGTTCAATACACCATCCTCATTAGCATTGATATCTGAATAACCAGAAGGATTTCCAGCTTCTTTGACTCCACTTGTTCCAGACTTCCACCCACTCCAACTAGAATTCAAGTTTCCTTCAGCTAATCCACTGTTAAAACCATTGCCATCACCCCATCCAGTTGATGAATTTCCATTTGACTTTTGGACATTGTTCCAACCAGAAGATTCCTTTTCAGAAGCCTTGGTTGCATTCCAATTGCTATTCTGAGTGTCATCACCCACACTTCCAGTTTTATGCTCGGCCTGACCCCAGCTGCCACCACCATTTCCCCATCCACCAGACTGTTCTGGAATTGAAGCAACTACAGGATTGTCCACTGCAGCACCCCATGCAGAGTTCTGGTTTGAATTACTTTTAGTCTCCCAAGCAGAATCTTCTGCACCTATACATTACAACAGCAATGAGGCAAATGATAAACAAGTAGTTAACTAGAAGCACAAACATGTTAAACATATCTGCACTACAATTTTTACCCTTGGAACTGAATGGATTTGTGGAAGACTCCGGCTTCTGTAAAAAAAAAAAACAGTTACTTATAAATTAAATTGCAGTAAACTCATAAATATAAAAAGCAATTAGATATAAATGGGTATATGCATGTGTTAGATCATGCACAGGGATGAGAGGATGATAGGAGAGATGGGATCGAAAAAGGAAGCACACACACACACACACACACATAAAGTGTGTTATGCAACACATACCAATAAGCTTGGAGCAGAATGATTAGACCATGCATCCCTGAAAAATGTAATCACAAGACAAATAGTAACTAACTTAAGACAGATTAAAGCAAATCATGAATAAGAAAGAACACTGGGGATTTGCAATTTAAAATTATCTGGCCAATGCTTTAAAAACAATACCAGATAATATAATGGCGGAGGCTTAGTATTATGCAATGCCTAGGTTTCACATAGTAGTATGGGATGTTCCATGGAGTTTACTAATAGGTATCAGAACACTAATTGTCAATGTCTTGGAAAGAAGTTCTAGTTCATATGATATATACATTTGAATTGAATATATTTAGTATGTTCAATTTAAATAACATTCAATAATTTTATATACATACACACACGCGCGTGTGCACACACACACACACACACACATATATATAGGGTGGTGGGTTCCCAATTATTTGGGTGCTTATAATATAATGATATAAAGATAATAAGACACTCTAATCCCATAATATATCAATTAGATATGCCTTTTTAAAATGGTCATATTCCATATCAGAGAAACATTTAGAAAATGGAATGACATGTAAAGATGGACACAACAACCAAGCCTACATAAACTGGTTATGCTTTTGGAATATTTGCCTTCCAAATTTCCACAAAATTATAGATTACTGAACAATATATGGACATTGCTAGAATCTTACTGTTGATGACTAAATCCCATTATGCAAAAATTAGCAGGGATACATATTAGTTGAATATAACATAGACTATAAAGCAGATGAAAATCAAGTAGATTAACTAATATCAATATGACATATACCTTTCAGATGACACCCCTGCAGCATTCCATCCGCCACCGCCAGAGGATGTTCCCACTCCATTCAGCCAACCTTTCCAACCGTCAAGATTAAAGTCTCAATAAAACATCAAGGCCAAATGAGAATACAGGGAAGGTAAGCACCACACATGCTAATTAATACTGTAATCCGTTAAATGGAGATTTTATTTCCTTTTTAAAGGATAAGATGATAAAAAAAACTAGAGAATTAAGATTCAAACCTCCAGAGCTTCCTTCAGTACCCAGTAGATCAAATGGCTTAGATGAACTTGAATCTGTATCACCACTGAAATAAGAATCATTGATAAACTCAGGACAACATTCACTGACACAGTCAAAGCAAATCATAAGTAGTTGTCACATGCAAAGTTAACGCCAATGTCCGAAATACCTAGTTGAAATGGCAGTACTCTTCCCCTGAACCTCAGATAGATGCTCACATTTAACTGAAAATATTTTTGCAGAAATTGTTCTAAATAATGATCTAACATATCAAAAACCAATACACAAGAGTTGACCGCCATTAACGAACCTGTAAGAACCTTCTGCTGAGAATCAAGTTTCACAGTCACATCGGTTCGACGCAACGCAATCACACGGCAAAGATATCCCTTCAAAGGACCTATCCTAATTCTCAAGGTCTGACCAATATTAAACATGTTATTGTTGTCTGCACGGTTAACTGCATGAACAATTATTGAATCGAGAGAAATTAATAAATGTGCATGTAGCTATGGCTAAAATACTTCTCAAGGAGTCATGTATCTTTACAGACATTCACGATTATTTTCTCTTGCTTGCCATGGTTTTTTGGGTGACAAGGGAGATCTAGGTGATGATGGTTGGTCTTCAAAGAATAAAGGACCCGGATCACTATCCTGAATGTGGAGCAGTGTTCAAAACATCAAAACCTCAAATAAAATCATTGAACAAATTGTAACAGAGCAGGATAATACAAAGATTTCAAACCTTTCCACTGAAATCAGTAACATCAAGCTTGACCTTCTCGCACATATTAGATTTACATGTAAAGTAACCACCATTTTCTTCCTCATTTCCATCATGTAAAAAGACAATTCCTCTATAAATGTGTTTAACAATGCCTTGCTTACCCTGCAAAAACGACATAATTTTAAAAGTATCATGTGAGGCATGGAAAATCCAAATAAACCACAACTAGAAATCTTCATTCAGAAATATGAATCACACCTTAGACGGACCGTCCAGAACCCTGATAGTATCATTAACCAATATAGTCTTACTGTGCTGATCAAGGGCAGTAAGTTTCAAATCATGTAGCCCACTCTTTATTTCACTTCGATCAATAGTTACAGCAACAGGTCCATCTGAACTCTCTTTTAGAATCTATAGTAGACAGGAAAATTAGAAAAGTACTTCAAAAAAATAACGGGTACTCAATCAAAAGCTTAGAACAAATGACATTACATAAGCTGAATGCTATACCTTGTAAATATCATCTTTATCCATGCCTACTATTACACCAAAGTCCTTCTTCCTGAAAAATCGCAGAGTCATCAGGAAGGGAAGACATGTTTAGTAATGTGCAGGTATGGAATGTGTGTATATCTGCACATATTCAAGTGCATGTTTGTGTGTGTGCATGAGAGAAAAAGTTATTACAATACCATGAATGTACTGCAACGGAAAGTATTTGTCAAGAATGAGGACATATGTAGGAATGTGCAAGAATGTACAGTACATGAGTGTGCATCTGCATGTCTCATGCATAAACATGTTTGTGTTTGAAAGTATGGTTTTGGCAAGTGCATGCAGTGTGATAGAAAATAATTCATGTGCACTGTGAATGTTAACCAGGCAAAACAAGGACTTACCCAAAACATACTAATTCATAAAGTTCAAAATCATTTCCCACACCAGAACCTGATGAACTCTCTCCTTTCCCACCTCCCTTATCGGGTCTTATAGCCCGTTTTTTCTTCTTGTCACTGCCATAAAGCTGTGCGAGCCACTCTAAATCATTAGATTCATTGTTTTCAGAAGGCCCAAATTTTAACAGCTCCTCTTCTGTTGGCACAACACCCCATAAACTTAATGAATCTGGAGATACTTTCTTGTATACATACCCATCCTTGAGCATCAAGCCATCAAGAACCTCAAAAACCTTGCCTGTATCACGGTCCCGTTTGAATTGTATGAGTGGTCGGAACTCCCTGCAGAGGTATTGAAAAATAATAATAATAAAAAAAAAAAACTATCCAGTAAAAGAATAACCAGATATGACAATATATATTATTACTCAAGTTCACTCGAGCTGATTAATCTAGGGGCCGGTACAGCAAGTTTTTGGCGACTATATCCTCCACCCTGTAATGTGAGAGAAGGAATGCATCAACAATTTGCTCACTCTATGGCTTTGTTTGGGTTGCAAGTAAAAGACAGGAAATAAATAGGAAAGATAGAAATAAATAAATAAATAGAAACATATGTTGTTTAAACAGATAGAAATAAGAAGGGAAAAAGTCAAAATATTTCTTGTTTGAATAAGTGGAAGTGTGGGTAAAGATAAATAAATATGTTTAATTAAAAATTAAATTTAACAAAATAATAATACTTTAATAGCACCTCCTGTTCCAACTAATACATTACCAGCAGATACCATGTCCTATACATATAGAAACTACAAGCATCATCAAAGTTCATTAATGAATTCCTGAAAAAATAAAAAAGGGAGCATCAAGTAGACACATGTCTCCTTACAAATTTGGCAGCCAAGGCTTGCAGATCAATTCTTGGTATAAGCTTAACTGTAACTTTTTTCCGGGTATTATTTACAGCCACCACCTGCAAAAACATAATTGACAGAAGGAGTAAGCATTTCACAAGTTGGATAACAAAATAATAACACAAAAAAATTACTTGTGCAATCATGAGTACCTGTGCTAAATCCCCCTTGTAATTACCACCTTTTATTCGAGCCCACATGCCCTCAGAAATTTCAGGGGTTCTATTCCTAACAGAAAACAGATGATAGACCTCACCATTTGGTACAGGTGCTACTCGAGTAACATAGATTCCGGGAATCCCTTGACATGCCTGAAAACCATACATTTGTAAAAATTGTAAATAGATTTGGCTGGTGGTAGAAATGTTTCACTTTAAAATGCTATCAACATAATGCTAGAAGACGGTCATAGACCACAATTTCAACCACATGATCGAGGTTTTTGTAGGCCAGAAAATTTTAGGCCACATCAAGCACCAGAATTCCCAGTGTCAAGCTCAAAGCCCCACAAACAGGCATGGAGCGCAATTCAAAAATTAAACCCAACAAAAATACCCATTACTAAGGTTACCTCATTTATATCATACTGTTTTTCAGCTTCAATGTATACAAAACCTTTCATATGATCTACGGCAAATGCAGATTTTATCTTCAAGACAGTACCCAATGAAAACAAGTCAGCAAACTTCTGCATCAGACACAAAGCAGAAAGCCTCTCCCGGCCAACCTGCATAAAATAAAAAATAAAAAACTAAGAAATTTAAAAGCAACACTGGGAATTTAAGTCGACAAAATCATATATCATACAGTGCATTTGACTTTCCAGATGTTTGGCAGTAATTCCATGACACCATCATGAATAGAACTTGGGTCGTGCACTTTGTCATCAAACTCATCAGCAAATTTGATAAACCTAGATGGATTGGCGTATCGCTCTTCATATATCCTATCAAACTCTTCTTCATCTACCAATTCCTCTTTAGGAACACGCGGGAAACTACTTTGGCCTTTAGCTGGCTCGCTCGTTCTTTTAGGAGAGGCATTAAAATCCTCGTCAGAAAAACCTGTTACACAAAATTAGAAGGTGTACTGTACCACGGGAAATTCTAAAATTCTAGCTCTAAATTACAAAACCATAAAATCAAACAGGACTAAAGCATTTCTCAGCAACGAAGTCACTAAAGGCAGTGTATGCACGTCTACAACAAATAAGGACAAATTAAAATAAGGCCGAAACCCTAACGATTTTCGCGAGAGGTACAATCGATGAAATGTAAGAGCATGAGAGAGCAAGGGAATCCAATAACGTACCGTCGCCGAGATCACTGTCGTCGCTGATATCGCTTTCCTCGCTCCCGTCAACATCAGCGGCGTCTTCGAAAAACCGAAGGACTGCTGAGGCCTTGTCATTGTTGAAGGCGCCCTTGCGCTTGCCGGCCGAAGCTTTTCCGGCGACCTCCTTGCCCTTTCTCTTGTCCGTCATTTCCACCGAAAATGCTGAGACGAATGCCTATTGCATGCTCCGATTAATGGAGAGAGAGAGAGAGAGAGAGAGGAAGTGAACTAATTGAGTGTGTAACAAATTATGATCAGTAAAGACACATGAATGAATTTTTCATTTATTATTTTATTTTTATTAAATATAAAATATATATTATAACAAAAAAACTGCACAACATTTCAGTCATTGCTTAAATATTAACATCGAATTGGTGATTTTAATGTAAGGGTGAGAAAACAATGATGAACGGTGAGATTAATAAATCCACGAGGTGTAGTTCTCTCACGGAGAAAATCACTTTCCGAATTTGGGACGCATGTTAGAAAGAATTGGGCCGGCCCAAAAATAAGGATGTATTTTACGTTAAATTCGTTGAGTAAATATACAAAAGTAAATTATAATGTGCTTTTAAAATCTGAAATAGGTAAAAAATAAAATAAAATAAAATCAAGTATTACCTTTTTCTTTTGTTATAAATTAGATCCTTTGAACTCAAAAATAAGAAAACAAGTTATTAAGACATCTTAATGCAAGTATTACCAGATAAGCAACATTCCTTAATAAAGTTTACCATTATATATCACTATTTATGTGTTGCAATAAACAAACACGTGACACATAATTATTTGTCTAATAATATTCCATTAATACAATTAAATATTATTCCCTCCCTTCCTATTTATTTATTAGTATAAGTTTATAATAAATATTTTTATTTTTATTAAAATATAGACTAATATTATATTATGCTCTTTATCTTTTCTGTTGTTACTTAAAATCGTATTTATGAGTTACATATACAAAATTATAATTATTAAAATACAATTAAGATTATTTTAAATTTTGAAATGTAAATAAAAAGGAATAGAAGGAATATAATGTAAAGACATGCGATACATGGTTCATAAAATGATTAATAATAATGACATTACTCTATATCTATTTTACATCTATTACGATGTATTTAATCATTGACCGTTTCAAAAACAGTATAATGTTTCTTATTATCGTGCCAAAATGTATTTAGTTTTCCTTATAGATTAAAATGTATCATAAGAACAAAAAATTAGAATGTTAAAATTGAATCTTATATATTTGAAAATAGTATGCTTATTATTATTATTATTATTGGTTTTAATTTATGATTATAAAATTGTGTAATGATTAGTGTGTATTAAGGAAACAATTAATCATTTGTTATTTATTTGAACACATTATGAGTTTTTTTTAAGAAGTGCAACAGCCAACAACCAATTTGTTTGTTTAATTACACGTTTGGATTTTCATATTTTAAAATAGTGCAATTTCAGTCATGTAAATTTTAATTATCATTTGAGTTCTTTAAATATTATAATTACATAATGTTAAACATTGTATCTAGCGTCTATGTCAGTCTAATTGATATATTTATTTCAACTAAATTACTTTATTTTTATCAGTATAATCTTCTATTTTATTAGATAACTAGTTTTTTTTTTTTTTTTACCAAACATCAGAACTTTAAAACTTAGGATAAAATACTAAAAATAACTTTGAATTTAAAAAAAAAACTTTAAAACAAAATTTTATTCTTCTAAAGTAAAAATAAAATGAAAATTGTACGACTTTAATTTATAGTTGAAGAGTATGGAAACAATTTCGTTGTTAATTTCTTTCAACACTTCTGAACCTCAATTGGTTTCATCCTTCACGTGAGTAAACAGTGCAATATTCACAGAATGATGGATAACAGATACACGTGTACGTATAACATGTGCCGTTCAAAGATAAATAATTATAAATTTAGAAAAATATTATGTTGAAACGCAAAATACTATTCTATATTTAAAGAAAAAAATAGATTTTTTTAAATATATAAAAGAATAAAAATACAGAAATAGAAAATATCTAAAAAGCTCTACCTCTATCATTTCTTAAATTTAGAAAAATTATAATACACAGAAGTTAACATTTTATATTTACAACAACCATTTATTATATTTTACTAATAAATTTTTGTCTTATTTTTTATTTCTCTTTTATTATTATATTTTTCTTTCATATATATTTCATTTTTTTAATATGTTCATCACAAGTTATAAAAAGAATTAAAAAAAAATATATTTCAAAATAATTTAAAATATATTTCAAAAATTATGTTTATTACTACTTTAAATGTTTATGGGTTAGTTTTCAAAACCAGTATACGTGACTGAAACCTTTAATATGTAGTTCTTTTCTTGAGAATATATAAACAGAGTTTTCTTATTCTCTTTTTATCTTTCATTGAAAAACGCAAAATATCCTAAAATAACAATTTATGAGCAAATGTATCTTATATGTCCAACAACAATTTCATAATTTTTTCAAGCAAAATCAAGGTGAGAAGTTCAGCACCAATATCAATGTCTTTATTCAATAACAATAACATAATAACAATAATAGAATCTCACTCATCTCCCATTATTCTCGTAATAATAGCATTTAATGTTAAATTTGTAGGAAATTTGGTATTGTTGCTTTGGATTGCCAGCACAAGTATGATTAAGATAATTTTTCTTCTATAATCGTTAATGTTTCTCCAATTTTTTCTTTAAATAATAATGAATCATCTCTTATCGACACACACTTCACATTCAATGTGGTATCTCGACAGTACAGTCACACATCATATCAGAAAGAAACATGTCTTCAATGATAGTGAGATTGTGAAACTGGATAATGAAATAGGAATGCTTATATCTCATGTTGGTTCTGCATGTTTTAAGCTTCCAGATATATAATCACAAAGTTTGTCATACATTCTTTCACATGTCCCAAAAATTACAAAAAATCTCATGAGCGTTTACAAGTTTGCTAAATACAATAATGTCTTTTTGAATTTCACTCCAACAAATGTTGTTAAAAATCAAGCAACCAAGAGATTGTTTTTCAAAAAAAATGTTAAAGATGGTTTATATATTTTTATTCCATCTTTTATCAACTCAAATAATTATAGTGTAAATATTGTTACATATAAACCCTTGATGTCTCAATTCAAACTTTAGCATCCTAGACTTGGTCATGCATATTCTCAAACTGTTCAATGTGTGTTTTCTGCGTGTAATATATCTTGTAATAAACATACTTTGTTATGTGAATCATGTATCCTTGTTAAGTTTCATTAGCTTCTATTTTCAAAATCACAAGTTATCTATACCGCACCGTTACAATTAATTTTTATTAACATATAAGAATCACCCTTAGGACTGTTTCATATGATACTCGATATTATATTTTGTTTCTTGGTGCTTACTCATATTATATATGGTTATATTTGATACATTCAAATTCTCAAGCTTTATCTATTTTCAGATTATTAAAATTGTTTTCGAAAAATCAAACTAGTTGCAAATTAAAATGCATTCAAATAGACAATGTCAAAGAGTTTTTGTGTTTCTATAATACTTTGCGTGAGTATGATATCTGTCATCGTCTAACTTGCATTATACTCATGAACAAAATGGTTCTATTAAGAGAAAACATAAACATAAACAGGTTGATGTTGATTTATCTTTACTTGTTGAATCTTCTTTACCTATGAAATATTTGGGTGAAACATTTACCTTTACAGTTTTTATTATCAACATGTTACCTACTCTCGTGTTTAATAATTCTTCTTCATATAATGTTCCTTTTGATAAATCACCAAATTATATTTTTCTTAGTGTTTTTTTTAATGTTATCATATGTTGTGCATATATAATCTCAATAAATTTACTTTAAGATGATCTATATGTTTGATTCTTAGGTATACACTTAATTTCAAAGGGTATATTTGTCTATCCTCAACAAGAAAAATCTATATTGCTATACATGTTTTGAACGAAAACTTGTTTCCATATAAATTGCAAATTAACTCTTTTGAATCCAACACCTCTTTTGTTGTTCCAACTATATTCATACATCTCTTATAACGATTCTTTCTCCCTCCTCATATAATACATCTTAATTCAACACCACATTATTGCCACTAATAGTGTTCTAGGTATGCATGATAGTCCTATCACTATTATAAAATATGTTTTTCGCGTCGATTAAAGTTGAGTCGACGTTAAAAGTTGAAATAATAGCAAATTAAGATAATTGTCACTAACAGGATTCAAATCCATTACATTAATGTTAGAAGTCGATACTCCAATCACTAAGCTACTAAGATTTTCTAATAATAATTTATAAATAAATTATATTTATATACAAATAAATGTATATCCAGTGTAAATATATAAATATATAAATATAAAATATATAAATATAAATATATTTATATATTTATATATTTATATATTTTGATATATTTATATAGTTATATATTTACATATTTATATGTTGGATGTGAGGGTGCGTTCGAGAGTGAAAGTGTGTGTCGAGTGGATTTTCAAAATTTGATGCCAAATTTGTGAGCGAGTCTCTTTATATGAATTTGTAATTTAATGACAGAATATAATTTTTATAATTTATTTATATAATGATATAAAATAATTTTTTTCCTTATTTATTTTAATTTTAATTTATCTTTTTTTTCTTCTATTATTTAATTGAAAATCTTATATTAAAATAAATTTTTCAATATTAAAAATAATTAAATATTTATTTTTAAAATAATTTTTTAAAATTATTTAATTTAACAAATTATTATAAATTTATCTATGTCTAGAAAAAATAATTATTAAAAGATGATTTTGATTAATTTATAATAATCTATGTTAGGAAAAAATTGTTCTATTAATAATCATAATTAGATTAAATTTGGTATCAAATTTTGAAAATTCACTTGACAATACTTTCACTCTCGAGTGCGTCCTCGCATTCAACATATAAATATATAAATATATAACTATATAAATATATCGGTTCTACATCGGTTCACCGATGTAGGATTGTCAAGAGGCTTTTGAGGAAATTAAACAGTACCTGCAAAAACCTCTTATCTTGGTGCCCCCGGTGCAATGAAGACCTCTTAT